ACTAGGTGGGTACACACGTGCGGGGTGATCATAGCAAGTAAAGTAATAATTTTACCTTGTAGAAGACGGGCAAGAAATTGGCAAATGGAGGCTAGTAGGGGTGAGGGAGAGACAGGAGAGCATCTGCCCCTGACCTGCACCCGCACGTGTTGCCCCTGACCTGCACGTGTTGCTCTTGACCTGCACGTGTTGCCCCTGACCTGCACGTGTTGCCCCTGACCTGCACCCGCACGTGTTGCCCCTGACCTGCACGTGTTGCCCTTGACCTGCACGTGTTGCCCCTGACCTGCACCCGCACGTGTTGCCCCTGACCTGCACGTGTTGCCCCTGACCTGCACGTGTTGCCCCTGACCTGCACGTGTTGCCCCTGACCTGCACGTGTTGCCCCTGACCTGCACGTGTTGCTCTTGACCTGCACGTGTTGCCCCTGACCTGCACGTGTTGCCCCTGACCTGCACGTGTTGCCCCTGACCTACACCCGCACGGCCGCCCTGGGTGGGGTCGCGGAAGTGAACTTCACCGTTCCCTCATCGTCCGTTTCCGTTCAGCGTACAGGTCGTTCCGTCGTGTGGTTCTTCACGTGAGTCGTCGCTCCTCGTGTCCACTACCAGCAGGTGTTGTGGACGACACGCCGCTCCCGGACTGTGTCGTCCACTCACACACGCTTCATATATTATAACATTGTATAACTAACAAAATAACTAAAAAAAAGTTATTTACTGATATATAAATTATTATTATTATTATTATTATTATTATTATTATTATTATTATTATTATTATTATTATTATTATTATTATTATTTATTACTATTTTGTCCATAGTTCAGTATAGATTATGATGGGTGTTTTGGTTCTGTTTGTGTTTGTAAACAATGCTCACCCTTGTAAACACCGACCGTCCTTGTAAACACCGACCGTCCTTGTAAACACCGACCGTCCTTGTAAACACCGACCGTCCTTGTAAACAACGACCGTCCTTGTAAACACCGACCGTCCTTGTAAACACCGACCGTCCTTGTAAACACCGACCGTCCTTGTAAACAACGACCGTCCTTGTAAACACCGACCGTCCTTGTAAACACCGACCGTCCTTGTAAACACCGACCGTCCTTGTAAACACCGACCGTCCTTGTAAACACCGACCGTCCTTGTAAACAACGACCGTCCTTGTAAACACCGACCGTCCTTGTAAACAACGACCGTCCTTGTAAACACCGACCGTCCTTGTAAACAACGACCGTCCTTGTAAACACCGACCGTCCTTGTAAACAACGACCGTCCTTGTAAACAACGACCGTCCTTGTAAACAACGACCGTCCTTGTAAACAACGACCGTCCTTGTAAACACCGACCGTCCTTGTAAACACCGACCGTCCTTGTAAACACCGACCGTCCTTGTAAACACCGACCGTCCTTGTAAACACCGACCGTCCTTGTAAACACCGACCGTCCTTGTAAACACCGACCGTCCTTGTAAACACCGACCGTCCTTGTAAACACCGACCGTCCTTGTAAACAACGACCGTCCTTGTAAACACCGACCGTCCTTGTAAACACCGACCGTCCTTGTAAACAACGACCGTCCTTGTAAACAACGACCGTCCTTGTAAACACCGACCGTCCTTGTAAACAACGACCGTCCTTGTAAACACCGACCGTCCTTGTAAACAACGACCGTCCTTGTAAACAACGACCGTCCTTGTAAACACCGACCGTCCTTGTAAACACCGACCGTCCTTGTAAACACCGACCGTCCTTGTAAACACCGACCGTCCTTGTAAACAACGACCGTCCTTGTAAACACCGACCGTCCTTGTAAACACCGACCGTCCTTGTAAACAACGACCGTCCTTGTAAACAACGACCGTCCTTGTAAACACCGACCGTCCTTGTAAACAACGACCGTCCTTGTAAACACCGACCGTCCTTGTAAACAACGACCGTCCTTGTAAACACCGACCGTCCTTGTAAACAACGACCGTCCTTGTAAACAACGACCGTCCTTGTAAACAACGACCGTCCTTGTAAACAACGACCGTCCTTATGAAGGAGCTCTGGTCTTCAACGTCTTCAAAGGACACTATAGTTAGTGTTATTATCTACTCCGTATCCATGGTTGGGTTAAGGTTAGGTTAGGGTACATTAGGTTTTATGTTAATGGTGTATTATTTTCAAAAGTGTGAAATATGAAATTCGATAACTGAGTTACCCCTACAATTTCATTTACAGAAATCCTAATTCTTCAGACAGTTTCAAAGAAAACAAGCTCAGCATATACTATTTATGTTATAAAACAATAATTTGGTTTCAAATTGTATGAAGATATATCATTATATAATAAAGTTATAATTTAAAATATTCAACCCGTCCTCGACTCAAGTCCGTTACATCCAGCGGTCGACCTCACAGACGCATTCATCAATTTGTACATGCTGTTAATTCAAAACGGGAATATTCTTAAATATATATTTATATTATAATATATTAGCATATTGTGCATATATAGGCATAGGTTAGGTTAGGTAACTACAAATACTACAAATACAAATAATCTGTTGGCGATTATTTGTATTTGTAGTACGTGGGTGAAGCATTTACAGCGTTGTGGTTCGAACAAAATTCGTCAGTGAAGCACTTGTTCCGGAAGTTGTGAGTCGTGTGTAAACCGTTTTTCATTCATAAACAGGGGGTTTGGCGGGTGCATGGAATCACTTTTGGGTCTTTTTTTGGAGGACGGGCTGTGTGAACAGAAGTTCGCACAAGTTCAGCGAAGCGCTGTTTGAGAAAAGTTTGAACGTGATGAATCAGCCCGTATGGTGGTGGTAGGAGTGTGTACTCATGCACCTAGTATGTGGTGGGGCCGTGGTGGGGGAGGTATTCACCTAGTTGTGCTTGCGGGGTTGAGCTCTGCACTTTCGGCCCGCCTCTTAACTGTTAATCAATCGACAGATTTTTTCCACACACACACATTACATCATGAGTTACGAGGAAAGGCTGCGGGAAATGCATCTTACGACACTGGAAGACAGAAGAGTTAGGGGAGACATGATCACAACCTACAAAATCCTCAGGGGAAACGACAGGGTAGATAAGGACATATTATTCAACACTGGTGGTACGCGAACAAGGAGACACAGGTGGAAACTGAGTACTGTACCTACATGAGCCACAGGGACGCTAGAAAGAACTTTTTCAGTGTCAGAGAAGTTAACGAATGGAATGCATTAGGCAGTGATGTGGTGGAGGCTGACTCCATACACAGTTTCAAGTGTAGATATGACAGGACCCAGTAGGCTCAGGAATCTGTACACCAGTTGATTGTCAGTTGAGAGGCGGGACCAAAGAGCCAGAGCTCAACCTCCGCAAGCACAAATAGGTGAGTACACAAATACACACAGTTTTCTTTTAGCGTGATAGTGAATGCACTTAAGGAACAGGTTGTGGACAGGTAGCAAACTCTATTCATAATTTTAAAACTAGGTATGATAGGGAAATGGGACAGGAGTCATTGCTGTAAACAACCGATGGCTAGAAAGGCGGGATCCAAGAGTTAATGCTCGATCCTGCAAGCACAAATAGGTGAGTACACACACACACACACACAGGAAGCAGCTCATAACAGCTGTCTAACTCCCAGGTACCTATTTACTGCTAGGTAACAGGGGCATCAGAGTGAAAGAAACTCTGCCCATTTTGTTTCTGCCATCACCGAGGATCGAACCCGGACTCTGGGATTACGAGCCCAGAGCGTTGTCCACTCAGCTATCAGGCCCCTGTGATGTGATGGTGGGGGTGTGGGGAGTCTGGTGGTCTGGGTGTGGTGGTGGGGGTGTGGGGAGTCTGGTGGTCTGGGTGTGGTGGTGGGGGGGGGGGTGGTCTGGGTGTGGTGGTGGTGGGGGTGTGGTTGTGGGGGTGTGGGGAGTGTGGTGGTCTGGGTGTGGTGGTGGGGGGGGGGGTGGTCTGGGTGTGGTGGTGGTGGGGGTGTGGTTGTGGGGGTGTGGGGAGTCTGGTGGTCTGGGTGTGGTGGTGGGGGGGGGGGGTGGTCTGGGTGTGGTGGTGGTGGGGGTGTGGTTGTGGGGGTGTGGGGAGTCTGGTGGTGGGGGGGGGTGTGGTGGTCTGGGTGTGGTGGTGGGGGTGTGTAGGGAGAAGAGAGGTGGGGAGGGCAGCCACCTGGGGCATGAGGAAGCGGGTCGTTAGTGTACTTAACAGTGAAGGTGGTGAAGGTGGCCCAGTGGCGCTCCTCTGTCCTCTACGGCCACGGCAGAGAAAGCCACCCAACTAAACAAGCAGCCTGCCAGCCAGCCAATCTGCCTGCCTGCTAGCCAACCAGTCTGCCAGCCAGCCTGCCAGCCTGCCAGCCTGCCAGCCTGCCAGCCTGCCAGCCAGCCAATCTGCCTGCCTGCTAGCCAACCAGTCTGCCAGCCAGCCTGCCAGCCTGCCAGCCTGCCAGCCTGCCAGCCTGCCAGCCAGCCAATCTGCCTGCCTGCTAGCCAACCAGTCTGCCTGCCAGCCAGCCTGCCTGCCTGCCTGCCTGCCTGCCTGCCTGCCTGCCTGCCTGCCTGCCAGCCTGCATACCTGCCAACCAGCCAGACAGGAACTGTTAGCGTCAAGTAGCCATAAGCCGAGAGTGGTCGTGAACAAGAAGCACCACCTCAGCGTCGTGCTAAACAAGGTGCTCAACTACCAAATCAGCAGGAAAGGTCACGGGATGGTCGGACAAGGCCACCTTCCTACCCATTAGCCCGGCCCTGCTGCAGCTGACAACTGCTGGCACGGGATATCAAGTATAACCACTGCTGCAGGAAGGGCCATCAGGGGGACACCTGTCGAAGCAAGCCAGGTTTAAACAGGATAACATGTCACACGGGAGACAATCTGTGTCCGGATCAAGAAATATTCATATCCGGTATACTGTCTTACACATCGGGTACCTATAGCCGCTCTTACCAAGTCTCTTCAGCTGCCTCTCTGCCTTGTACGAGACAAGTTATACACACCTGTAGTCTACCTGTCACCAGGGCAGCCACCAGGGCAGCCACCAGGGCAGCCACCAGGACAGCCACCAGGACAGTCACCAGGGCAGCCACCAGGGCAGCCACCAGGGCAGCCACCAGGACAGCCACCAGGACAGCCACCAGGACAGCCACCAGGACAGTCACCAGGACAGCCACCAGGGCAGCCACCAGGGCAGCCACCAGGACAGCCACCAGGACAGCCACCAGGACAGCCACCAGGGCAGCCACCAGGACAGCCACCAGGACAGCCACCAGGACAGCCACCAGGACAGCCACCAGGACAGTCACCAGGACAACCACCAGGACAGCCACCAGGGCAGCCACCAGGACAGTCACCAGGACAGCCACCAGGACAGTCACCAGGGCAGCCACCAGGACAGCCACCAGGACAGCCACCAGGACAGCCACCAGGACAGCCACCAGGACAGTCACCAGGACAGCCACCAGGGCAGCCACCAGGGCAGCCACCAAGGCAGCCACCAGGGCAGCCACCAGGACAGCCACCAGGACAGCCACCAGGACAGCCACCAGGACAGCCACCAGGGCAGCCACCAGGGCAGCCACCAGGACAGCCACCAGGACAGCCACCAGGACAGCCACCAGGGCAGCCACCAGGACAGTCACCAGGGTAGCCACCAGGGCAGCCACCAGGACAGCCACCAGGACAGTCACCAGGACAGCCACCAGGGCAGCCACCAGGGCAGCCACCAGGGTAGCCACCAGGGCAGCCACCAGGACAGCCACCAGGACAGCCACCAGGACAGCCACCAGGGCAGCCACCAGGACAGTCACCAGGGTAGCCACCAGGACAGCCACCAGGGCAGCCACCAGGGTAGCCACCAGGACAGCCACCAGGGCAGCCACCAGGGTAGCCACCAGGTCAGCCACCAGGGCAGCCACCAGGGTAGCCACCAGAACAGCCACCAGGGCAGCCACCAGGGTAGCCACCAGGACAGCCACCAGGGCAGCCACCAGGGTAGCCACCAGGACAGCCACCAGGGCAGCCACCAGGGAACCAATCAGTAAGCATATAGTCTACCAACATGGCGGCCTTCACTACCAACGCTGGCAGTCTCCCACAGCCTCGTGAACACTCATCGTGATGTTATAGTTGTACGGGAAACATTTCTGGGCGACGAACCTATACAAACTCAGCTAAGACTGCTGGTGTTCTTGTACATGCGTCGTCGTCACGCGAAATCTGCCGACGCTGAATCTGTTGAATTTGTCATCTGTGTTCACCTGGAAATTGTGCGTTCTTCAGACTGTGCATCAGTCCCGGAACATTCATTCTGGAGTGCGCAATGGTCGGACCTGATGGGCTGGGTATGGACCAAAGCATCTTCTTGATGGGCACGCTGGACTACCTTCTGGGGCACTAATGTTATTGGCCAACATCAACAGCTGCCTCATATAGAGAGATCTTGACGAACTCTTACCAGTTGTGGTGGCTCAGAGCACCGTCTTGGGCTGTGGCTCAGAGCACCGGCTTGGGCTGTGACTCAGAGCACCGGCTTGGGCTGTGGCTCAGAGCACCGTCTTGGGCTGTGGCTCAGAGCACCGTCTTGGGCTGTGGCTCAGAGCACCGTCTTGGGCTGTGGCTCAGAGCACCATCTTGGGCTGTGGCTCAGAGCACCATCTTGGGCTGTGGCTCAGAGCACCGTCTTGGGCTGTGGCTCAGAGCACCATCTTGGGCTGTGGCTCAGAGCACCGGCTTGGGCGGTGGCTCAATACACAGTCTTGGGCTGTGGCTCAGTACACAGTCTTGGGCTGTGGCTCAGTACACAGTTGTAGAGGTTCGGGGTGTTCAGCAGTAGTACTCATATATAATAATAATGGTAGCGGGTGAGGGAGGCGGCGAGGTGAGAGTATTAAGGCCACTGTCGCCTCACCGGCCTTGAGCCAAGACTGTTGAGGATCTCGGGCGACCCTTCACCAACTGGTTCACTGACTACGTCGTCGCTGATGCTGCAATAATATTGGTTACCCTCCCCCCCCCCACCATTATACCATTCCCGTGACGTACCTCTGCACAAAAGCCAATCAAAAATTGGTTTCCTTGTTAGATCATTTCCTCATACGCTTGTTGAACACCCAATATCCTGTGGGGACCTGTGCTGGGCGTGGGTCCTATTGTGTAGGTGGGGGCCTGGAGCACCCCAGCTGGACCCCGCGGCAGGTGGCCTGCTGGACCCCGCGGCAGGTGGCCTGCTGGACCCCGCGGCAGGTGGCCTGCTGGACCCCCGCGGCAGGTGGCCTGCTGGACCCCCGCGGCAGGTGGTCTACTGGACCCCCGCGGCAGGTGGTCTGCTGGACCCCGCGGCAGGTGGCCTGCTGGACCCCCGCGGCAGGTGGCCTGCTGGACCCCGCGGCAGGTGGCCTGCTGGACCCCGCGGCAGGTGGCCTGCTGGACCCCCGCGGCAGGTGGCCTGCTGGACCCCGCGGCAGGTGGCATGCTGGACCCCGCGGCAGGTGGCCTGCTGGACCCCGCGGCAGGCGGCCTGCTGGACCCCGCGGCAGGTGGCCTGCTGGACCCCGCGGCAGGTGGTCTGCTGGACCCCGCGGCAGGTGGCTTGCTGGACCCCGCGGCAGGCGGCCTGCTGGACCCCGCGGCAGGTGGCCTGCAGGTCCTAGTCCTCTGACGGTTACTACTTCGTTTGCAAAACTCAATTATTCGGTTATTTCGTAAAGAGGATCAGTATTGAGATGAATGATCTCTTAGTGACCACTACCTGCTTCATCACACTCTTAGTGAGAGTGTATCCACTCACCACGCCTCACCACCTTCCTTTCCCCCCGTCATAATATATTCATCTCATTGACAGTCATTCAGCGCTCAGCTTCTAGTTAACTGTCAACGAATGAAAAGCCTTTTGTGCATGTTAATTATGATCAGCCTTGATGTGAGTGGCAGCGCGGTTCTGGGCTCTCCCACTGGTCCTCAGTCTCCCACCAAGACTACACTACTGGTTTGTCCTGCTAAATATCAGATGATGTGAGTGTCGCTACCTCGAGCTCTTCACATCTTTTGTTTGGCCTTATTTTTCTCATTTTGCCCCTGAAGTCAGGGGCAGAGAGAAAGAGAGAGAGAGAGAGAGAGAGAGAGAGAGAGAGAGAGAGAGAGAGAGAGAGAGAGAGAGAGAGAGAGAGAGAGAGAGAGAGAGAGAGAGAGAGAGAGAGAGAGACTAGGCACCGTCCAAGCGGGTCATCACGGTAGGTATGGAAAGGCTCTTGGACCAAACATCGAGTGACGCAAGTTTTCTGTGTGCTTCTTATTTACAAAGTTCTTTATTGAGAACTAAGAACCAATGCTAAAATATATCATTATGTTCACCAGATAGTAAAGTTTATGTGCCCGATACGGGGGAAACAAAAGGTAGGCTATTATATACAGGATTATATGTTCCATTAAGGAAAATATAATCTCTTCCCACAACCAGACCATCACCAGAGAAGTCTTAACAAACAACACAGAAATCATCGCTAAATACAGCGATAGCAGGCGGCTTGACATCTGCGAGGCACTACACATCAAAAAGTCAACACCAGCAATCAACAGCCAATTAATGCACAACTATATATATATATATATATATATATATATATATATATATATATATATATATATATATATATATATATATATATATATATATATATATATATATATATATATATATATATATATAAAGAGAAAAGCACACAGAAACTGTATTAGAGGGGATCTAAACATTCCCTCTGATGCGTTATGCGTGGTTTCCTCCGAGGCTATAGTTACCCCTTCTTCCCTGATATGGTTATAGATGTGATATTTTCCTCTATCATATCTACATATATTTCACACACACACACACACACACACACACACACACACACACACACACACACACACACACACACACACACACACACACACACACACACGCACAAGGGGACACAGGTGGAAACTGAGTGCCCAAATGAGCCACAGAGATATTAGAAAGAACTTTTTTAGTGTCAGAGTGGTTGACAAATGGAATGCATTAGGGGGTGATGTGGTGGAGGCTGACTCCATACACAGTTTCAAGTGTAGATATGACAGAGCCCGATAGGCTCAGGAATCTGTACACCTGTTGATTGACGGTTGAGAGGCGGGACCAAAGAGCCAGAGCTCAACCCCCGCAAACACAACTAGGTGAGTACAACTAGGTGAGTACACACACACTTCTAGATCACTCAAAATTGTGTAATTTCACTTGATTCTATTGCACCAAATTGTTGAGCATTGAGTCAAATTGTAGGTCTCGCCAATGTTATTATGTTGACAATAAAAGTGTGGCCAGTGAGCCAGTAAGATCCACAGTGGTGGGAGTTAGCTGGCGGTAGTGTAGGGCCACTTAAGGTAATACGCTCGTCCCCGTGACTGGTGTAATCTTCAAGTTAGGAAGGCTGAGAAGCTTACTGGGTATCCTGGTGATTTGACCCCCTTAAGCCTCCCTACTACACACTTCCTCTTGTCAGTTCAGGGTCACCAGAGATGACCTCAATTCTCCTCAAATCTGGGCAATGGTTTCGCCCCAGGCTGCATCACCAGATAAAAGGTCACCTTGGGCAACTACTTAACTTACAAGGGTAGCTTCTGCTGCGTGTGTCAGTGTGAATGAACTCACCTAATTGTACTCACCTACTTGTTCTGGCGGGGATTGAGCTTTGGCTCTTTGGTCCCGCCTCTCACCTGTGAATCTACTGGTGTACAGGTTCCTGAGCCTTCTGGGCTCTATCAGATATATTTTAAACTGTGTATGGAGTCAGCTTCAGCCACATCACTTCCTAATGCATTCCATTTGTTAACTACTCTGACACTGAAGAAATTCTTTCTAATGTCTCTGTGGCTCATTAAAGTGCTAAATTTCCACCTGTGTCCCCTTGTTCGTGTTCCACAACCCGTGCTAAATAGTTTGTCTTTATCCACTCTGTCAATTTCCCTCAGAATTATGGTGGAGGTTATCATGTCTCCCCCTACTCTTCTGTCTTCCAGGTACGAAAGTTTTTAGGTTTAGCTCCCTTAGCCTTTCCTCGTAGCTCATACCTCTCAGTTCTGGGACTAGTCTGGTGGCGTACCTCTGAACCTTTTCTAACTTTGTCTTGTGTTTAACTAGATATGGACTCCAGGTTGGAGCTGCATACTCCAGGATTGGTCTGACATAAGTGATATACAAGGTCCAGAACGATTCCTTATACAAGTTTCTAAAGGCAGTTCTTATGTTGGCCGATCTGGCATATGCAGCTGATGATATCCTTTTGATGTGGGCCTCAGGGGACAGGTTCCGTGTGATATCAACCACCAGATCGTTCTTTCTATTTGACTTTTGCAGGATTTCACCTCCCAGATGGTACCTTGTGTTCAGCTGTGCTTGCGGGGGTTGAGCTCTGCTCTTTCGGCCCGCCTCTCAACTGTCAATCAAACAATTGTTACTAACTACTAACTTTATGTTTTCCTCACACACACACACACACACACACACACACACACACACACACAGGAAGCAACCCGTAACAGCTTTCTAACTCCCAGGTACCTATTTACTTCTAGGTAACAGGGGCATCTGGGTGAAAGAAACTCTGCCCATTTGTTTCCACCGGCGCCGGGAATAGAACCCCGGACCACAGGACTATGTATCCAGCTTGCTGCCCACTCAGCCACCAGGGCAAGTGTGTGTGTGTGTGTGTGTGTGTGTGTGTGTGTGTGTGTGTGTGTGTGTGTGTGTGTGTGTGTGTGTGTGTGTGTGTGTGTGTGAGTGCGCGCGCGCGTGTGTGTGCGCTCGCACGGAGGTGAAAATAAATAAGTAAAAAATAAAGTCTAAGGTTCTGCCATCTGTGGCTGAGGTTGACATCAACCAATTTCCTCCAAAATTGGCACTCTTACAGATAGGCTGACGTGCAGTCAGGTGTATGAGTTTCAGGTTAGGATCTTTGGTCCCGCGTCAATCAACTGGTGTACAGGTTCCTGTGCGTATTGGGCTCTTGTCATGTGTACATTTCATCATAGCCACAACCACATCACTGTCAGTGTCCCCTTGAGCGAGTACTGCATGTGCTAAATACTCTTTATCTACCCAGTCAGTTCCTCTTGGAATTTACTAGGTGGTAATCATGTCTCCCCTAATTCTGGTTTCGAGTAACTTGAGGTTTAATTCTAATTGGCTTTCCTCGTTAATCATTATGCACTGCTGCGCTTACAATCACGTGCACGCACTGCGCTTACAATCACGTGCACGCACTGCGCTTACAATCACGTGCAAGCACTGCGCTTACAATCACGTTCACGCACTGCGCTTACAATCACGTGCAAGCACTGCGCTTACAATCACGTGCACGCACTGCGCTTACAATCACGTGCAAGCACTGCGCTTACAATCACGTGCAAGCACTGCGCTTACAATCACGTGCACGCACTGCGCTTACAATCACGTGCACGCACTGCGCTTACAATCACGTGCAAGCACTGCGCTTACAATCACGTGCACGCACTGCGCTTACAATCACGTGCACGCACTGCGCTTACAATCACGTGCACGCACTGCGCTTACAATCACGTGCACGCTCTGCGCTTACAATCACGTTCACGCACTGCGCTTACAATCACGTGCACGCACTGCGCTTACAATCACGTGCAAGCACTGCGCTTACAATCACGTGCACGCACTGCGCTTACAATCACGTGCACGCACTGCGCTTACAATCACGTGCACGCACTGCGCTTACAATCACGTGCAAGCACTGCGCTTACAATCACTTGCACGCACTGCGCTTACAATCACTTGCACGCACTGCGCTTACAATCACGTGCAAGCACTGCGCTTACAATCACGTGCACGCACTGCGCTTACAATCACGTGCACGCACTGCGCTTACAATCACGTGCACGCACTGCGCTTACAATCACGTACACGCACTGCGCTTACAATCACGTGCACGCACTGCGCTTACAATCACGTGCACGCACTGCGCTTACAATCACGTGCACGCACTGCGCTTACAATCACGTGCACGCACTGCGCTTACAATCACGTGCACGCACTGCGCTTACAATCACGTGCACGCACTGCGCTTACAATCACGTGCAAGCACTGCGCTTACAATCACGTGCACGCACTGCGCTTACAATCACGTGCACGCACTGCGCTTACAATCACGTGCACGCACTGCCTACAGTAGACAATTTTGTTGGTTTGGTATTCGGCTGAAGGCTATCAACCACAAGAGGGATATTAAGGTCTCCATAATAGTTTACTAAATAGCTAACAAGTATACTTTAGTCGTGAGCATTGTCGAGGAGTAAACTCATTATAATCACACGGAGAAGATGTATACGGCTCTCGTGTATGTGTCCCGTGTGTGGTTCACCGCCACAAATTAATATCAATCAAATAGCGCCAGAAACAATTCGCTTCGTCAAACGGCTATATGTGCGCCGGTCGTGAGAGCTTGACCTGCCAAGGTGTAGGAGCTGGCCAGAGGGTAAACCACTGTGACAATATTACGGCTGTGTGTACCCCGTAACGCGGCAACAGTGTACCAGTAAACCTGTGTTGTGTAAACTTGGTCTTCTATATGATACGTGCAGTTAGTGCCAAGGTTCTTCCCTCCAGAACACTCCACACTGGTTCAGAGTCTTTATTCGCGAGGTACACAGCTGTGTTACAGTTGTGTGGGTTGACCAGGAGTACAGCTGTGGCACCCTCTGGCCTGCTGTTACAGCTGTGGCACCCTCTGGCCTGCTGTTACAGCTGTGGCACCCTCTGGCCTGCTGTTACAGCTGTGGCACCCTCTGGCCTGCTGTTACAGCTGTGGCACCCTCTGGCCTGCTGTTACAGCTGTGGCACCCTCTGGCCTGCTGTTACAGCTGTGGCACCCTCTGGCCTGCTGTTACAGCTGTGACACCCTCTGGCCTGCTGTTACAGCTGTGGCACCCTCTGGCCTGCTGTTACAGCTGTGACACCCTCTGGCCTGCTGTTACAGCTGTGGCTCCCTCTGGCCTGCAGTTACAGCTGTGACACCCATTGTAACCTTATCGACGTTTTGTTTTTGTGAATTGACATTGTTAGCATTATTGGGCATATTGTTATTCATGCGGTATTGAGTATTTAGATGTGTGTATAGGAGTGAGAACGTGGTGGAGTAACCCGGTCTTGTTCATGTTGACAGGTTCCCGATGTCTTGAGCGAGGGAGCCGTCATGAGCTGTCACATCTCCTCCCCCACGGTGAGTACCCTGGCCTGTTGTGTCATGTGTGTGTACCCTCCCCCTCCCCCCCCCCACGGTGAGTACCCTGGCCTGTTGTGTCATGTGTGTGTACCCATCCTCCCCCTCACGGTGAGTACCCTGGCCTGTTGTGTCATGTGTGTGTACCCATCCTCCCCCTCACGGTGAGTACCCTGGCCTGTTGTGTCATGTGTGTGTACCCTCCCCCCCCCACGGTGAGTACCCTGGCCTGTTGTGTCATGTGTGTGTACCCTCCCCCCCCCCTCACGGTGAGTACCCTGGTCTGTTGTGTCATGTGTGTGTACCCTCCCCCTCCCCCCCACGGTGAGTACCCTGGCCTGTTGTGTCATGTGTGTGTGTACCCTCCCCCCCCCCCCCACGGTGAGTACCCTGGCCTGTTGTGTCATGTGTGTGTACCCTCCCCCTCCCCCCCCCCACGGTGAGTACCCTGGTCTGTTGTGTCATGTGTGTGTACCTCCCCCCCCCCACGGTGAGTACCCTGGCCCCGTGTCACCTATGTGTATACTGTACTTCTCGCAGGTTTAGTGGCAGCCGGTGATTGGTGTCACTGCAGTAGTGAGAGTAATGAGCGGCACTGCAGGCAGCACAGTGTAAGCACCGCGGGTGTTGTAGAGGAGCGAGGTGCGCCTCCACATTACCTTACAGCTGCGAGCAGTGTGAGCAGCTCCCTGGATGTCGTTGTGACTCACATTGGACTCACAGAGGGACTCATTGTGACATCTCCCTGGATGTCATTGTGACATCTCCCTGGATGTCATTGTGACATCTCCCTGGATGTCATTGTGACATCTCCCTGGATGTCATTGTGACATCTCCCTGGATGTCATTGTGACATCTCCCTGGATGTCATTGTGACATCTCCCTGGATGTCATTGTGACATCTCCCTGGATGTCATTGTGACATCTCCCTGGATGTCATTGTGACATCTCCCTGGATGTCATTGTGACATCTCCCTGGATGTCACTGTGACATCTCCCTGGATGTCACTGTGACATCTCCCTGGATGTCACTGTGACATCTCCCTGGATGTCACTGTGACCTTTACACCATAATAATAAACCATAAATATGATCAACAACCACAGATGAGGCGACTATGACAGCTTGACAGCCTTAATCATAATATATTTTTACTCTGTAAATGAAAACTTGGCTTGAACATTTGGGTGATTGAGACAGTTCTGGTCGACTCATACGGGAGGAGCAGCAGGATATATAGAGGATATGAGTTGCATTTTATATTGCCACTTCTTGACCTTTTATTTTGAAAAAACTAGACCAGTGGGTCCCGTGGAACACCCGGGGTTGGTCCACCCGTGTCCACAGTTCCGTGGAACACCCGGGGTTGGTCCACCCGTGTCCACAGTTCCGTGGAACACCCGGGGTTGGTCCACCCGTGTCCACAGTCCCGTGGAACACCCGGGGTTGGTCCACCCGTGTCCACAGTTCCGTGGAACACCCGGGGTTGGTCCACCCGTGTCCACAGTCCCGTGGAACACCCGGGGTTGGTCCACCCGTGTCCACAGTTCCGTGGAACACCCGGGGTTGGTCCACCCGTGTCCACAGTTCCGTGGAACACCTGGGGTTGGTCCACCCGTGTCCACAGTTCCGCGGAACACCCGGGGTTGGTCCACCCGTGTCCACAGTTCCGTGGAACACCCGGGGTTGGTCCACCCGTGTCCACAGTTCCGTGGAACACCCGGGGTTGGTCCACCCGTGTCCACAGTTCCGTGGAACACCCGGGGTTGGTCCACCCGTGTCCACAGTTCCGCGGAACACCCGGGGTTGGTCCACCCGTGTCCACAGTTCCGTGGAACACCTGGGGTTGGTCCACCCGTGTCCACAGTTCCGTGGAACACCTGGGGTTGGTCCACCCGTGTCCACAGTTCCGTGGAACACCCGGGGTTGGTCTACCCGTGTCCACAGTTCCGCGGAACACCCGGGGTTGGTCCACCCGTGTCCACAGTTCCGTGGAACACCTGGGGTTGGTCCACCCGTGTCCACAGTTCCGCGGAACACCCGGGGTTGGTCCACCCGTGTCCACAGTTCCGTGGAACACCTGGGGTTGGTCCACCCGTGTCCACAGTTCCGTGGAACACCCGGGGTTGGTCCACCCGTGTCCACAGTTCCGTGGAACACCTGGGGTTGGTCCACCCGTGTCCACAGTCCCGCGGAACACCTGGGGTTGGTCCACCCGTGTCCACAGTCCCGCGGAACACCTGGGGTTGGTCCACCCGTGTCCACAGTCCCGCGGAACACCTGGGGTTGGTCCACCCGTGTCCACAGTCCCGCGGAACACCTGGGGTTGGTCCACCCGTGTCCACAGTTCCGTGGAACACCTGGGGTTGGTCCACCCCAACTTTTCACACTAGAGATGCTATACCGATGATGATACTTTTCAAAACGCTTGTGCTATCTAGAGTGGAGTACTGCTGCACAATGACAGCCCCTTTCAAAGCTGGAGAAATTGCTGACCTAGAGAGCGTGCAGAGATCCTTTACTGCTAGAATCCACTCAGTAAAACATCTAAACTATTGGGACCGACTAAAGAGCCTAAATCTGTACTCCCTTGAGCGCAGGCGGGAGAGATACATAATAATTTACACGTGGAAAATAATTGAGGGGCTGGTCCCAAACCTGCACACAGAAATAACACCACATGAGACCAGAAGACATGGCAGGATGTGCAGAATACCCCCGTTGAAAAGCAGAGGTGCAACAGGTACTCTGAGAGAGAACTCTATCAACATCAGAGGCCCGAGACTGTTCAACACGCTTCCACTACACATAAGGGGCATAACTGGCAAACCCCTCACAGTGTTCAAGAGAGAACTGGATAAGCACCTCCAAAGGATACCTGATCAACCAGGCTGTGACTCATACGTCAGGCTGCGAGCAGCCGCGTCTAACAGCCTGGTTGATCAGTCCAGCAACCAGGAGGCCTGGTCGACGACCGGGCCGCGGGGACACTAAGCCCCGGAAGCACCTCAAGGTAGGTAGCCACCCGTGTCCACAGTCCCGCGGAACACCTGGGGTTGGTCCACCCGTGTCCACAGTTCCGTGGAACACCCGGGGTTGGTCCACCCGTGTCCACAGTCCCGTGGAACACCTGGGGTTGGTCCACCCGTGTCCACAGTCCCGCGGAACACCCGGGGTTGGTCCACCCGTGTCCACAGTTCCGCGGAACACCTGGGGTTGGTCCACCCGTGTCCACAGTCCCGCGGAACACCTGGGGTTGGTCCACCCGTGTCCACAGTTCCGCGGAACATGCAAAATCATGCGGGATAAAAGTACAAGTTGCCACCTTTTTTGTTATTCGGTAAAAAAAGTATAATTTATTAAATAGTTACAAGAGAGTACACTGGCTAATGTTTAGCAATGTTGCATTGCGCATAACAGGCTGTATTTCTCTAAGCCGAGCAGTAGTAACATCTAGAAGTCTGCTGATTTTATTGGGTGATCCATAGATGTGTGGCTCCTCTTGCATGATAGTATGATGATAGATGGAATTACTGGTGTCGATTTCACTTTGCCTCAGATCTACAAGATCTTGTTGAAGTTCTCGGTGTACTGCTGCTCTCAGATTGCTCATAGACAATCTAAGGTTACACTCAACGTCTCCTTTAAAGGCAGATTTTTGGCTAACTCATCAGCTCTATCATGCATTCGGAGGCCAACATGAGATGGAGACAACATGAAATGGACTGTTACCATCATTAATAATTTTGTTGTATTTGTGTCTATCTTTAGACACGAGTATGTTACAGTTATGTCTTAAAGAGTTGAGAGCATTTAAGAATGATAAGGAGTCACTTACAATTAATGTATCAAGTTTGGAGACTTGTACACATTTCAGTGCAAGGAGCAAGGCAAATAGTTGGGTCTGAAGGGTAGAGGCCCAGTTGTTTATACGGACTCCCACTCAAAATATAAGCCATCGCCCATTGTCAGGGACAACACTTCCAGCTGCACCCGTGGGCGTGAGACGAACAAATAGTATTTACAAAACTTTAAGGTTTAACCTACCTTTTTCTCCAAGATAAATAAATTCAAAATAATTTGGTTATAATAAACTCAACCAAAATGTAGGCGGTTCAGACGGTTTGCAGTCCGTAGATCCTAATCATTTATCAACCCGTTCTCTCGCTTAATACGTCATATTTTTAACGGAATGGATGAATCAGTTAAAAATTAGAAGGATTTGTAAATATGAATGCACCGCAATATTGACGACCGCTCTGCGTCGGCCTCCATAGGTTAGGTGGGCTGCTCTTGAGTGAGTAGGTGCTCGGCCGTTAGTCACCTTGTGGGGTGGCATCCTGGGCGGGGGCAGTAATTCCGCCTGGGGGGGGAGGGAGGGGGGCTCGATAAAAGCCAAACATGTATGACTATACCCTGGCTCCCTGTCCCCCGACACAATGTGGTGGAGACTGACTCCATACACAGTTTCAAATGTAGATTTGATGGAGGTTTGATAGGCTCAGGAACCTGTACGCCAGTTGATTGACAGTTGAAAGGCGGGACCAAAGAGCCAAAGCTCAACTAGGCGACTATTGAATTATTATTATATTGGTACCAAAGGAGTGTCACTATTTTCTTTACAGTAGTTAGCCATTTAGAACATGATTTTACGTTTTCTATAATGTAAATATATTTTTCGTTTTCTCAGATTTCTTTAGCGTAAACTATTTTATATTGTTACATTTAGTTCTAATTTTGTTTACCTCTTTTTCCACAATGAATAGGTAACTCGTACATATGTTAGCTTTATAACCTAAAACCTGAATCACATGACATTATGTAAGTACGATATTTGTTTAATACTTGACTGAAGCAATATGCGTCGGTGTGTGCATGTGTATATTAGCATATTATACTCGCCTAAATTAGCTTGTATTCACCTAGTTGTGCTTGCGTGGGTTGAGCTCTGCTCTTTCGGCCCGCCTCTCAACTGTCAATCAATCAACTGTTACTAACTA